GTTGGCCCAGGATCGGACATTGTTTCGTTCTGCTGTGCATGGGGTCACTATGAGTCGGTTCCGACTCGATGGCACCTGACAACAACAACAACTATTCTGGACATTCTATACAAATGGGGTAATACAATATGTGGCACTTTGTGTCTGGCATGTTTTCAAGCTTCATTCATGTTCAAAAAGTTTGTGGAAAACTGAAATGAAAAGATAATGGAAATTTTCCAGAAATCTTTTTGAAACTCTTTTTGTTGTATCTCAGTCCTTTTTATTACTTAGTAGTATTCCATTGTATGGATATGCCACATTTTGTGAAATAAATGGCCATCATAATGGAAATTTGGGGTTCCACTTTTTGGATATATGAATAATGCTGTTAGGAGCATTTGTATACAAGATTTTGTGTGGCGATTGTTTGGCATAGGAGAACAACTGCTGGTTCATATGGTAGCTGTGGAGTTCTGGTGTGGTGCTGTGGGATAATGCACCAGACCTTAAAGTTGGTTTGAACTGCAAGGTTGGCAGTTCAAACTCAACAGTTGTTCCTTGGAAACCCTATATAGGGTCACTGTGAGTCAGAACCAACTTGATGGCACTTAACAACAACAACGGTAGCTATGTCTAACCTTTTGAGAAACTGCTAGGCTGTTTTCCAAAGTGACTGCACCATTTTACATTGTAGTACTGTAGGATAAGCCCTGAACTGCTAACCACAAGGTCTGCAGTTCAAACCCACCAGCTGCTCTTTGGAAATCCTATACAGGGTTGCTATGGGTCGGAATCGACTCGATGGCACTTTAGCAAACCAGCCGTGTATGAGTGATCCAGTTTCTGTACGTTCTTCTAACACTTGTTATTGTTTGTCCTGCTGATTCTGGACATCCTATGGGGTGTGAAGACGTATCCTGATGGTCTGATTTATATTTCCAGATGACTAATGATGTGGAACATCTTATCATTTACTTGGTGGCCATTTGTAGATCTTCTCTGGAGAAATGTCTCTTCACATCCTTTGCATATTTCTTAATTGGATTGCTTGTTTTTATGTTGTTGACTTGTAAGGGTTCATGTATATTCTAGATATGCCTTATCAGATATATGATTCTCAATTATTTCTTCCCATTCTGTTGTTGTTAGGTGGCATCTAGTTGGTTCCTACTCATAGCGACCTTATGCACAACAGAACAAAATACTGCCTGGTCCTGTACCATCCTCATAGCCATTGTTAAACTTGAGTGCATTGCTGCTGCCACTGTGTCAGCCCATCTCATTGGAGGTTTTCCCTTTTTTGCTGACACTCCACTTTACCTAGCATGATGTCCTTCTGCAGGGACTGATCGCTCCTGATATGTCCAAAGCGTGAGAAATGAACTCTTAACATTCTGGCTTTAAGGAACATCCTGGATGTACTTCTTCCAACACAAATTTCCTATTCTGTAGGTTGTCATTTGATTTTCTTGGTTGTATCCTTTGAAGTATAAAGGCCTAAGCCTTTTGAAAGGCAATTTTTAAAAACATATCAGGAACCACACACATTTTCATAGTCCTTGATCTGGTATTTTCAATCATGGGAATTGGCTCCAAGAAAATGACTAAGGAAAAGAATAAAGCCACTGTATATACAAATGTTATGGCCACATCAGTTAAAAGACAGAAACAAAACAGCCTAAAAGAGCATTCACATAATTATGAAATATGTAGTCATGAAAATTACAAATCTGATTATGGAATCATAGGCTATCAAATCAGTTCAGAAAAGGGATGAGGATGGGAAGGTAATAGTGAACTTTTTTGCAAAGTTGTTACCAAGTAAAATTTAAAAGTAAAGAATTCTTTAGCACTATCAGAGTCCCTGGAGTCCTGTTATGGCACTGTGGGTTAATGCGCTGGACTGCAAAGTCGAATTGAACTGCAAGGTCAGCGGTTCAACTTACCAGCTGCTCCCCGGAAATTCTATACAGGGTTGCTATGAGTCCACCTGACTCAATGGCACTTAACAACAACAACATCAGCATCCCTGGGTGTCACAAATGGTTAAGTACTCAGGTGCTAACTAAAAAATCCACCCAGGGATACATTGCGATAAAGGCCTGGCAATCTGCTTCTGAAAAATCAGCCATTGAAACCCCTGTGGAGCACAGTACTGCTGACACGGGGGGACACCATGAGTTAGAGGTCACTCAACAGGAACTGATTTTTGTTATGCTTTATTATGATTTTTTTTTATTGTGAATTGTTGGTGATTTTACAGAGCAAATTAGTTCTCAAACATTTTATGCACATTTTGTTTTACATCATTAATTGTATTCCTCACAATGCAAATCACTTATCCCATTTCCTCCCTATGTTTCCTAGTTCTATTCCTTCTTTCCTCTTTCTGCCTTCTGAATTTTGCCCTTTGTCCTATGTTAAATCTTTTGATATGAAATGGTTTATTATTCTAATGTGTACATTGTATCCTTAGTGCTATTGTTCCCCTTATGGACATGTCTATAAGAATTGAGCCATGGGGGTGAGTTCATTTCCAGAGGTGAGGGGTGACTAGGGTCATAGTCTCAGGGGAGGAAGTGGTTGTTTTGGTTGATGGATATTTAGATTGCTTCTAGGTTTTTCTAGTTATACCCATTGTTGCACACATATTCAGAGGGGGAGATTACTAAAAGTAGAAACATGCCTGAGAGGTTGCTGAAGGCACAAACTTCATGGGTATCTCTTGGATATTTCTGTGCATACAGGACCTCAGCCTGCAATGACTCCCCCAACAACGAGGAGACACCACTGCCTCCTGTGAAGTCCTCCATCTTCACCCCACCTGTCCTACTCAAGTTCCAGCCTGTACCCAGACCAAAAGATGACTCAGAGAATGATCCTAGCAGCTCAGAGTTGGTGTCCCACCACAGGAGCCCATAACCATTCCCTTCAGACATGGCCTGATGAATGAATAAAGTTACTGTGGAGGCGCTGTACTGTGCTGTGCTGATGCTGGGGGTAGGGGCTGTGCAATGCTTCTTGGTGATTTAGGTCTCCCTCGAGCCCAGAGCGGGTGGTCAGGGTAATTGTGCTCCACTGTACACTAACAGGAGCACTCACCCACATGCTTTTTGTAAGAGGAACAAGTGATGTCTTTGTGCTCATTTGACCTGACTGTGCTGCATATCTGCCCTCTTAGTACATTTGGCCCCTCAACACAACCTATTTGGTGTGCAGTTGTGAAACGGTGACCAGTTCACTCTTGGTAGGAAAAAAGTGTGTCCCTTTCCAATTTGGCAACTTCCTAAGGAATTTTACAGATGTGTGACTTCCATTGTCAGCTTACTTCTGACCTTAGCACCAAACCTGCATGTGGAATGTAAGCCCTTGGAGGAAGGTACTTGGACAGATGTGGAGACCCTTCTGTACACCTTGCACATGTCTCTTGGAACTGTTGATAATGAAAAAAGCCAAGTGGGGTGTGTCTCTGAAGGGATGGGGTAATCTAGCACATCATAGATGAAATTACTATGGGATGATGCACTGTGATAAGCAGCCTAATGGGAACTGAGATGGAGAGGCCTGGGGACAGCTGTCTGGGATGGCGCTGTCAGGCTAGGTCTCTGAGGCATCATCAAGTTGAAACCTAAGAGAAAAGGCAAGAGTAGCTGGCTTCCAGTGATTGTGTGGGGGTGGTATGTTCAGGAGATTGGGCGAGTAGAGAATTAAGTGCTGATCACACGTTAAATTTGAAGTCATTGGGTACCTAATGAAGGCCAGGAGCCTGGAGCACAGGCTAGTTAGCATTGAGATTCATGGAATACAACCCAGCCAACCCAATGTCACTAAGTGGATCACAACTCACAGTGACCCTATAGGACAGAGTGAGATTCCATAGGGTTTCTGAGACTGCCTCATCTTTTGACTGGGAAGCAGCTGGTGAATTTCAACCACCGACCTTTCAGTTAGCAACCTGATGTTTAGCCCACAGTGCCATCAGGGCTCTTTCATGGACTACAAGTGGTTTTTAAAGCCACCACACTTGTGATCTTAATGTTGACAGAACAGAGGGGTCACAGACCTGATCTGGAGCAGGGGTAGGGTCTAGCTGAAGTCAGTTGGGACCAATGAGGACTGGAAGCATCCAGGCTTGGTGACCACCTGCCACTGGGTCACAGGGGCAATGGATGGGCGAAAGTAGGCTGGATGGTAGCTGCCACGGTTGGTGGGACTTGGAGCTCCAGATGGGTTTTAATGCTTGAGAGCTCGAGGCAGGTTTAAACGGGCGTGGGACCGTACCGGGGTTAGGCTGGTAGGCGAAGCGATGCGGAGAGAGGCGTCTCAAAACCGGCTTCCTTGGAGTCGAGTTCAACGCTAGGTGCAAAAAACCCTAGTGACAGCCCTCACCTGCTGGGCATGCGCGCTCCACGCCAGAGACGCAGTTCCCGGCCTGCTACGCGCGCACTTCCGGGGTGGGTCGTGGAGACAGGAAGTGATTGATGTCTCGGTAAGGACGCTGGGGACCGAGCTGTTGGCTGTAGTTTGTGCTAACGCCTGTTCAGTCGTATTGCCATCCGTCGCCGCCGCCATGGGGAAGCGACAGCACCAGAAGGACAAGATGTAAGTGGAGCCTCGGACAGGAGCGGCGTCCCGGTACTAAGGTCGCCTGTTCCGCGAACTCCTGTTGGATCCTAGAGCGCCTCTCAAATATCACTTAGTCTAAGAAGTCTCTCAAGTAGGGTGTCGGCCACCCTTCACAAATCCTTACCTCCCGGCTTCCGCGTCTCCCCTGACCCTGAGCTAATACTAATACCGTCCTTTTGGGTAATGAGCGCCATCCTCTTTAAGCTCTCGCTTCTCCACGTTTGCCTGACCCTACCTTCCCCTTAGGTCCTTTGGTGCCTGTAGGTGGTTCCTCTGGCCTCCTCTCCCTGGGTCTGTTAGCTCACACTCGTCCACGCACGCACGCACACCGCAGTACCGCCTTGTTTAAAACACACCAGTGTTTCCTTGTCCCTGTGCACCTGACCCACTGCTATCATGTTTCCTTGACTGCATCCCAGGATGACAAATTCTTGTGCTGTTGTTTTTGCCCCAGGATGGCTCTTAACAAGTTTCTCACGATTTCTGTGATGCCAAAGCTAGTGGTTGATTCTAAGTCCTCATTTTGTTGGACTTCTCAAGAGCAGAGGACATAGTTGAACAGTTCCTCTTTTTGTGAAGAGCTTCTTTGTTATATAGGATTCCATATTCTCTTTGTTTTCGGACTTTGCAGTGTTCTCTCCATTTCTTTTACTAGACTCTACTCCCTCACTCCCAGACCTCTAAGTCAGCAGCCTCAGGTTTCTTCCCTAGATAATCTCACACAGTCTTATACAAGTCTGTCTTTCCAGTGTCTGTCTTGGATGAAGAGCAGAAGTCTCCTTAGAAACAAAGATGGCGAGACTTTGACTCATATACTTTGGATTAGACTTGTTGTTAGAGGGACCAGTTCCTGGAGAAGGCCATCATGCTTAATAAAATAGAGGGTCGGTGAAAAAACAGGAAACGCTTCAAGGAGATAGATTTATATAATAGTTGAAACCATGGACTTAACCGTAGCATTGATTGTGAGGATAGTGCAGGACCAGGCAATATTACATCCTGGCTTCCAAGGATCCCTTTGGTTGTACTTATTCCAACACAGATCTGTTTGTTCTTTGGCAGTCCGTAGTACTCCAATACTCTCTTCCAACATCAATTCTTCTACGGTCTTCCTTATTCACTGTCCAACTTTCACGTGCATATGAAGTTATTGAAAATACCATGGTGTGGGTCAGGTATACCTTAGTCCTCAAACTGACATCTTTGCCCTTCAATACTTTAAAGAGGTCTTGTGCAGCAGATTTGCCCAATGCAACACATCATTTGATTTCTTGACTGCTGTTTCCGTGAGTGTTGATGATTGATGCAAGCAAAATGAAGTATTTGACAACTTCAATCTTTCTCCATTTATTTTTGTTTTCTTTACATTGAGATGTAACCCATACTGAAGACTTTGATCTTTTAAGTATTTTTTAAGTTCTCTTAGGTTTCAGCAAGCAAGGTTGTATCATCTGTATATTGCAGGTTATTAATACATTTTCCTCCAATCCTGTGCCACATTTTTCTTCATATAATCCAGCTTATCAGAGTATTTTCTCAGTGTACAGATTGAATAAGTATGGTGAAAGAATACAACCCTGCCACATGCCTTTCCTAATTTTAAACCATTTGGTCTTTCCTTGTTCTGTTTGAACAACTGCCTTTTGATCTATTTACAGGTTCCTCATGAGCACAATTAAGTATTCCAGAGTACTCATTCTTTGCAATGTTGTCCTTAACTTCTGATGAGCCACACAATTAAAAGCCTTTGCATAGTCAGTAAAGCACAGGTAAAACATCTTTCTAGTATTCTCTGCTTTCAGCCAAGATCCATCTGATGTCCACAATGAGATCCTTCATTCCGTGTCCTCTTCTGAATCAGGCTTGAACTTTTGGAAGTTCTCTTATCGATGTATGATTGGAGCCATTTTTGTATTTAGTAAACCTTTACTCGTTTGGCATATCAGTGATATTGTCTGATGATTCCCACATTCCATTGGATCACCTCTTTGTGGAATCGGCACACATACGGATCTCTTCTAGTCAACTGGCTAGGTAGTTGTCTTCCAAATTTCTTGGCATAGATGAGTGAGTTTTTCCAGTGCCACATCAGTTTATTGAAAGATTTCCATTTGTATCCCATCTATTCCCAGTGCTTGTTCTTTGCCAATGCCTTCAATGCACCTTGGACTTCTTCCAGAATCACTGGATCTTGATAATATGCTACAACTGTGTGGACCATGATAAACTGGATGATGTTGCAAAGAATAGATATTCCAGAACACTTAATTGTACTCATGAGGAACCTGTACATAGACCAAGAGGCAGTAGAACAGAACAAGGGGATACTGAATGGTTTAAAATCAGGAAAGGTGTATACCAGGGCTGTATCCTTTCACCATACTTACTCAGTCTTTATGCTGAGCAAATATCTGAAAATCTGGATTATATAAAGAAGAACATGACATCAGGATTGGAGGAAGACTCATTAACAACCTTTGATATGCAGTTGATACAACTTTGCTTGCTGGAAGCAAAGAGGACTTAAAATCCATATTGATGAAGAACAAAGACCACAACCTTCAGTATGGATTGTACCTCAATATAGAGAAGCCAAAGATCCTTAAAAATAGACCAATAAATAATATCATGATAAACGGAGAAAAGATTGAAGTTGCCAAAGACTTCATTTTACTTGGATTTGCAATCACACTCATCAAAGCAGCAGTTAAGAAATCAGATGATATATTGCATTAGGCGAATCTGCTGTACAAGATCTCTTTAAGGTGTTGAAGAGCAAAGATGTCAGTTTGAGTATTTTCAGTAACCTGAAAGTTGGACAATGAATAAGGAAGGCCATAGAATTGATGCATTTGAATAATGGTATTTGAAAAGAATATTAAACGTACCATAGACTGCCAGAAGAACAAAAAAAATCTGTGTTGGGAGATGTAGAGCCAGAATACTCCTTAGAAGACAGGATGGTATCTCACACTTCATGCATGTTATTAGGAGGGACCACTCCCTAGAGTAGACATCAAAGTGGAAAGCCAGTGAAAAAGAAAGACCTCCAAGGAGATGATTGACACTGTGGCAGCAGCAATGGGCTCAAAAGTAACAATTGTGAAGATGACACAGGACCAGGCAGTGTTTCATTCTGTTGTGTATAGGGTCGCTGTTTGTCAGAATCAACTCATTGGCACCTAACAATTCTTGCTTGTTCCTTCCACACAGCATCCAATATAATGGTAGATCACATCAAGGTCCTGCTCAATACCCTTTAAGCAGTGCGTGTATGTACCATTGTTGCTGTTATGTGCCATGGAGTCGGTTTTTGTTTTGTTGTCCCATTTTAAAATAAGTTTCTTTTTATTTTTATCTTCTCCTTTTCATTTGTGACATTTACCAGTGGTTTGTTGATTTTATTAATCCTTTCAATGAGTCTACTTCAAAGTTTTTAATCTCAGATTGCTAGTTTTTGTACTAGTTTTTCTGTTTAATTGATTTCTGCTGTAATCTTTATTATTTATTTTCTTCTGGTGACTTACAAACGTACTTGCTACCATTGTTCTGATTGTTGGAGATGCTGGGTTACGGTGTTGATTTTAGCTCATTCTTTTTTTGATGTGTGCATGTATTGCTATTAGTTTGTCTCTGAGCACTGCTTTTGCTGTGTCCTGAAGGTTTTGGTATATTGTGTTTTCATTCCCATTTGATTAACAGAATTTACCAATTTCATCTCTTACTGAGAAATTTTTTTCAGCAGGGGTTTTTTCCCTTTAATCTTATTGTTGATTTATAATATTGTAGCCTTGTGATCTGAGAAGATATTTCATAGTTAAAACATTTCTATGTTTTAAAATTTATTGAAGTTTGCTTTGTGGCCCAAATATACTCTATTCTGGAGAATGTTTCATGTGTGCTAGAAAAGAATGTGTATTTTTAGACACATTTTGGTTGGAATAAACCCTGCATGTGTGGACAGGAACCTTAGTAACAGTATTTTCCTTTCTTTTTCTTTTTTTTTAACTTGTTATTGTGAATTGAGTAATAGTTTATGTGGGAGAACATCAGTTTTACACTCATCATTTAATTGCAATGATTACAATCTCCTCACATCATCATTCAACAGTATTTGCTTCTATTCACTCTGCTTTTTTGTTTTGTTTTTTGGAGGGCAGGGGGATGTACACAAAAACACTCAGAAATATATAATAATTTAAACAACCAAAGTGCACATTCTACAAGCCTGTCTCCTGGCCACCAGCACCTGGCCACTAGCGCACAGCATTTCTCTTTCCATGAGTGTAGAGTCCTCAGCTACTCTATTTCTCCATGCCCTCATATCTGCCTCCATCTCTGGTGGTGCTGTTTCTCTGTATAGGGTCCCACATTCCGCTCATGCTCCTCTCCTTTAATGATCCTAGGGTCCTCTGTTCCTGGTCTGTAAGATTAACTACTTCTCTCTTTTTGTTACAAAACTTCTACCTTTACAGTGGTGACAGTTGCAATTAGTCATAATAACAATCACTCACTATTGAATAAAAATCTTATCCCCACCTCTTTTTACCAGACCTGTGTAGACAAGATGAATACTATTCATTGGGGATTTTACCTTCCCCCACACACTTGAAACTAAACTCACTCTTGAAAACTTGTAAGCCAGTCACTTCATGCCTTTATAGCCTCCCATTTTAGGTAGCCAATGTGTAAGTTGCCCATCCCTATCATCTCTGTATACAGAGGGGATAGGATTGATCCTTGATGTGAAGACTCCTTCCCTCTCAGTTGGTATTTTATCTTCTTCTAGTCGAGTTCTGATCATCAAGCCATTGAAGCTAGGTCACATGGGTACTGTCTACAAGTTTGGGCATTCTTGTGCATCTTGTGCATCAGTTGAGAGTGGATGCTTCACTCTCAACTCTAGTCCTCTGTGGCTATGTCTTAGTCTGTAGGTTTAGGAGTCCCCAGGTCTCACCATGCTTTGAACCAACCAGCCCTTCCTCTTCTCTCTCTGTCATCTCCAATTTTCCTTCTTTTTTTTTAAAAAAAAAAAGATTTTTATTGTGAATTGTTGAAGGGTTCCAGAGCAAATCAGTTTTCTATTTAGAGTGCATGGTCCTGAAAGGAGTTCCAAACCACCTGGTCGTGGCTGGGAGCAGAGTGCCCATCTAGCAGTTCACATTCTGGCCCAGAAAGGTGGAGAGATCACACCTCTAAATGTGACGGTGATATGCACCCAGTACCTCTGACCTCAAGGGAGCTAGGGACTGTGCAGCTGTTCAAAGGGTATATCATTGGCTGCTGGGTGGGCAAGTATAGGAGGGTTTGGGGAAGAAGGGACAGATCACACCTCTCTGGTTACCAGCCATTAGTGTACGTACTTCTGTGGTCCTAGGCAAACATTGTTGAAGATCAGTTCACTGTCGTGTTCAAACGCTGCTTGTAGAAATTAAAAATAGCTGCATTGTGTCAGGCTGGTTGACAACTCACCCTTTCTGTTTATCTTGTTATTCCCTGCTTCTCCTAGTCAGTATCCGATTCATTTCTGCATGCTGCTTTCCTCTGAAGTTTGGGATTGCAGGATTGTCTTTCGTTGGTCTCATGTCTCTGTTACAGAGGTCTGGGTTGCCTGTCTGCCTAGTCTGCCATTTTCCTGGATGTCTCATGTGTGTGGTCCCTTGACAATCCTCCTGTGCGCCCCCCATAGCAATACTTTTTTACTTTCATAACTGTTAGCTGAATGAGGGAATGACTTAAGTCATCAGTTGCTTCCTACAACTTTTTCCTCTGCCAACAGTAACATTCTCTCACTCTTCTTCAGGTACATTACCTGTGCTGAATACACTCACTTCTATGGTGGCAAGAAGCCAGGTGAGGCATGAAATCTACTCGCTCTGGGGGAAGAATCAAGGCATGATCTTGCCTCTGTGCAGTGAGCCTGTAAAGGTTCAGACTGTGGAAGCTACAATAGACAAATTGAGGGCATAGCTCACGCAAATAAAGCTAAGTGTGGGGAAAATGTTTAATCTTATTAGTAATTTTTAAAATGTTAAAACATTTTTTTTTCTATAAAATTCAGAAGGAGTAAAAAGAATACTATCCAAAATTATCCAGGCTCTGGAATCTCTGGGTGGTGTAGATGGTTCAGTGCTTAGCTACTAACAAAAAGGTTAGAGGTTTGAATCCACACAGAGGTGCCTCCAAAGAAAGGCCTGGCAATCTACTTCCAAAAGATCACAGCCATTTGCAATTGTGGATTACAAAACATTTAATAGATATAACCAAAACACAAGGGGTACATTAAAAAAAAAAAACAAAAAACAGCTCAGTGGACAAAGCACACAGGTAGGTCTCTGCCACAGTTTTGATACCCCTACTGTTGTGGGTCCTTGCTCTCTAAGAAGCCTATGGCAGTTTTACTCCTGTGACCAATTAGGACAGGGATTGATTGACTGATTTTTTACAGCAGCCTGGATATCAGTTGTTATTGACTATTCTGACTCATGGCCACTGCCTGTGTGCTCTCTAGGGTTTTCAGTGGTTACGTTTTCAGCAGTAGATTGCCAAGCCTTTCTCCTGAGGGATCTCTGGGGAGACTGGAACAGTTAAACACATTAACCAATGACACCACCCAGAGTTTCTCATCTAAATGATCTTACAGTGTATTGGGTTGTTGGTAGGAGCACATAAATCAAATTTGCTTACAGAATCTATTTTATTAACAGATATCCCCAAAACAAATTTCCGTCGGTTACCTTTCGATCACTGCAGGTAAGGTGTTTTGAAAGCTAATCTTTGTCTTATACCTGTTTTCTGATACTCAGATTTGTTGTTGTTGTTGTTAAGTTGGTTCTGACTCATAGCAAGCTTATATAGAGTTTCTGAGGAACAGATTTTGGGTTTAACTGTCAACCTTTTGGTTCACAGTCCAGTGCTAATTCTATAGCACTATACCACGATACTTAGAAACTTGGTCGTAAATCTCATTCTTTGACATACAGTTGTGGGTCCATCTGTGTCCCACTCCACCCCCACTTAAAAAAAAAAAACAAAAAACAAAAACAAAACTCAAAAAACCAACAAACCACCAACTCTTGCCCAACCTGGGAGAAGGCACTCCCAACAATGAGGATGAGCAATAACAATTTGCTGTTTCTTATGAGTGTGTATATATAGGTGCTATCCTTTTCACCTCATTCCTGCCCTCTGAGGTAGGCAAACCTATTGCTAAGCCTGTTTTATGATTGCAGGAGTCCTGATAGCTCTGTATTAGGGTTGCTCACTGAGTAATTCAAACCCGCCAGCCACTCTGCCGGAGAAAGATGAGACCATCGCTTCTGTAAATATTGGGGCCTCTTGAAGCCCTATGGGGCAATTCTACTGTATCTTATAGGGTCAGTATGAGTCATACCAATTTAATGGCCCTTTAATTAATTTTATGGTTGACAGCACTGAAGCTTAGATAAGTGAAGCCCCTCACCTAGGCATTCCATCAGAAGTGGTATCACAGAGCCTCGAACCCAGCTAGTAACAAGGCTTCCTGCCTTAAGCGCTTGACTTGTGTGCCAGTGTCAAAGTAGTAACAGCTGCAATAGCAGTAGTCATAACATCTGAGCCTCTTTCCCCTTACCTGGGGGCTCAGCTCCCAGGTTGGCTGCAGAGCCACTTGAAACCTTCTTGCCAGTTTTCATTTGCGTTTGCCTGAGCAGAGGGGGAGGGTATGGTGAAGTGGGACTAGGTGAGATAAACCCTCAAGTCCCAATGCATTGCCTCTTCCAGAGCCAGGGGGTTTATGGGAGTAGACATGTCTGGGGTCCCCACTGGGTCTGCATTTCCCTAAGCACAAGCCGTGGTGAAACCTGGACAACGAATAAGGAAGATGTAGGAGTTGAATCATGGTGTTGATGAAGAATATTGAACTAGAATATATAAAAGAAGTACAGCCAGAATGCAACTTGGAATTCTGTCTTAAAAGAAGTACAGCCAGAATACAACTTGGAAGCAAAGGCAGACTGGATGATTTAGCCAGAGAGGGAGACGACTACCCAAAAAGGATTCCATTGGTTAGTTAGTTCCTTGCTTAGTTAAGGTGCCAGAGCTGCCAAGATTAACCTGTGCTGACCAACCTCATAGGTGACCAATGTATAAACTAGAAGCCAGGTCAACCAGGCTTCTTGCTGGCTAGAGACAAACCCTATGAGGAAGAAAAGGATACCCAGGAAGTTTGCCAGGGTGCAGTGTCTCTCCGTATATGGGCTCTGCTTTTTCTTGCATTGGCCACTGCACTAAACAAAGGGCCATAGCCAGGACATCCCTCTGTCATCACCAGCTGTGTGGTCAGAATCTGCATGAACTCAGTCCCCAGAACATGGAAATGAGTCCAGTCCTCAAATTGAGAATAGTTCTCTATTGTCACCCCCTGCTCACCTGGTGCTCTCTCACCCCAACCCCAGCCACCCCGAGCTGGGTCAGAGCCAGAAGGCCACCCCATGGCTTTCACTGCCTCCCTGGAATAACTCACAAACCTTACCAGGAGTATATCAGACTTCCGGTCACAACATTAGCCAAAAAGGATACAAACAGAGGGGTCACAGTACAGAGCTATCTTGTCCCAAGGAGGAATATGATGTCCTATCCCTCACATGGTCACCAACCAGGACGCTCCATTAGAGCCTCAGGTCTCAGGGTCTTTCTCTGTTCTCACACATGACCATTATGGATGACATTAGCCTCCTGAGGTTCATTCAGCATCCACTCCCAACTGGTGCCTCTTCATTTTAGGTGTGGTCCAACTAGAACCAAATTACTTTCTGCAAGGTAAATGCACACCTGGAAGCTTCATTCTCAGGCAGGCTATTGCTACCAGACTTGGGGCAGTCTGGAGCCTAAACTGAATTAATATCTCGTCGGAGTCACATGTTCACCCCTCGGATGATCACCTCAAACCCTGAAACATTTGGGAGGATGGTCAGGGGCAGAGAAGGTACTCAGACCTCAGTAGTCCCCTCCCAGAATCCTTTGGGGTCGGGGAGGGCAGTTTTCACTGGAGAAGTTTGGCTACTGCTTCTTCATAAGATCTCAGAGAGCACATTTCACTGTTGCTTCCTTCTCATTTTCCCTCCCAGGGCTGCTACAAAGTGGGTGGCTTTGAAGAACAGAACTGTATAGTTTTACTCTCCTGGATGTGTGACCTTAGAGTAACAGGGAGACTGTTCCTCCCTGTCAGCTCTAACAGAAGATCCTTTGGTTTCTGTCCTGGGTGTGTCTTGGCATTTCTTGACTTCTTCCCCTTGTGTGTAACCTTGTTTCCAAGTATTTTCTCCACTTTTATAAGGTACCACTCAGAAGGAATTTGGACTCTCCCTACTCCTGTATGACCTCCTTTCATTTAACTGACTACAAAAATAAACCACGATGGGCATGTTCCTAAGTACAAGTGGTTTTCAGCGTAGCTTTTGGGGGGCCACAATCCAATTCCTAACAATCCCTAAGATGACTGCCAGTCGTCTCTTTTGGGTTGGTCATGGTAACAGAACCAAGACATGACCCAGCAGAGCACATGGAGAGAAGTCTGACTGCTCCCAAGGCTTTCTCAGCACCTCTGTGGGAACCTGGCCTTGGACTTAACTGGTTTGTACACAAATCGGAGCTTCCTCGTGGTCAACTCTGGCCCCAAGACTCAACACCAGCTGTGAGAAGCCCCAGAGATTGTTGAAGAAATGACTGAAGGAGAAAGGGACAAAGCAGGAAAGAGCCGTGTGTGTCTGGACAGGTGTCTGGGTCAGTCCTGTGTGTGTCAGCGTCACAGCTGAACAGTGGTGACTTGTGTCCTTTCTCAGTCTCTCTCTGCAGCCTTTCATCTATCCTGTGTGCACTCCCGAAGGCATCGTGTTTGACCTGCTGTGAGTGTTCCCTTGCATTTCTGTCTAATAAACATAGAAAGATTGTTGAAGAGGGTCTGGGGTTCTGGCAGTGCCAACCAGGCGGTGCTGAGGCCACCAGAGCCTTGGTTCCGGCAGCCTCTTGGAGACCCAGGAGGGGTTTGGTTTTTTTGTTTGTTTGTTTAAGTGCTCTTATTGTAACACAGTTGAGATGGTACCATAAAGGTTGTTCTGGATCCATTTTTCACTTTGTTTGATGAGATCTTTTTTCTTCTTGTTCTCTGAAAAAATAATGTTTAATGCTGGCCTAGCATTTCAGTGTATAGACAGATCACATTTATTTATTGGTTGTTTGTTTGTTGTGTGTTTTGTGTTTTTTGTTTTAAGGAGCTCTGGTAGCGTAGTGATTACAAATCGGGCTGCGAACCACAAGGTCAGCAGTTAGAAACTACCAGCTGTTCCGTGGGAGAAAGATGAGGCGTTCTGCTCCCGCAAAGATTTACAGCCTCAGAAACCCTGTACAGGGTCGCTATGGGTCAGAACTGACTCCACGGCACATAACTACCACCACCAGTTATGTTTTTTGGTTATTCATATGTAACTGTAGTGAAAACCCTTTTATCCAGTATTAGCCCCCTACTTTCTTTGGCAAGGCCAGGAGCTCTTCTTGTTGGCTTCTAGTATCAGAAATCAAGTTGGGGGAGCCTATTGCCACGTCTCTTAGCTGGAACCAGCCTTTTAGGGCTCTGGTGGTGGTCCCCAATTAAGCCTCACTGCCATTACCCTGCTTTCTGTTTTCTCATCCCCTCAGAAGCATCCTCCCTTGGCTTAAGAAGTACGGGACCAACCCCAGCAACGGAGAGGTAGGTCACCTATATGTATGGTGGAAGCATAGTCCGTCCTGCACTTGGTGGCCAGGGCACTAGAAGGTGGGGAATCATCCATGGGGCATAGTGAGGAGGGACTCTCCCTTCTCTCCCTCTCCACACACGCAGTCCTTTCTGGATCTGTTCCCTACACATACATACATAGATACATGTATGCATCTGTTCCTCTGGGGCCACAGACATGCTGCGTGAACACCTGCTGTACCTTGCTTTGGGCCAGGGGACTTAAGTTTGTGTCTCCCAGGGCCAGGAGCTGGGTGTAGTTTGGTCAGCCTTGAAGGCCTACTGGAGAAAGAGGCTGGATTGGAGGCTAGTGGCGATGGTGACACTAAATGACCTGGGTCATGTTTCTGGAGGGGAAGAGTGAGTGAGCTTAGTGCCCTGACCTCCAGCACCGGGTGGTGAGCTGCTATTGGTTTGGTCCTTATTTGTTTTGTGCCCTTGTTGTTGTTTAGTAAACAGAGTTTCATTCGTAACTTCCATCCTGCCCACAATACCTGAAGTTCCTCAAACATGAATGACTATTAAGACCCAGCTGTGGCTTTACATGTGGTGACTTGGCTCTTTAAGGTCTGTCTCCAGGCACCCACTCTTGTTGTCCACCCCTCCCCTCAGCACCCTGGGGCCTGGGTTGGCTGGCCCCATGCTACATCTCAGAGACTCTGGGGGAGTGTGTGGTGTTTGGATCTCTAGATCAGGTTATGTGCTTGTGTGCCCAGACTGAAGTTAGGAGAGCAGGTACCTGCTGGACCATCCTGTAGGGGTGGTTAGAGGGACATGATTGAAATACAGCCAGTGTGGTGGAGCCTGCTTTGCAGGGAGAGGCCTCACGTGGGGCTAGGGCATAAGGACTATAGAGCCAAGGCTTTCTCAGAGGTCAGGGAGAGGAAGGCAAAGGGCTGGGGTCCTAGGAGATCCCCAGACTAGAAGGTCCAGCCAGGGGGCTGCAGGGTGTGGGCTTAGAGGCTGACAGCATATGTGCACCCAGCCCACCTTCTACTTCCTGTGCCACAGTGGGTGCCACAACTGTGCCCTTGTTCAGGAAGGTTCCTGTGGGGTCTGCAGACACACCACAGACACTGAGAAATAGACGATCCACTTTCCTGTCACCAAAAAGCCACCAAGGTGTTGGGCATTTATTCTGTTTTCCACCTTAAAAATTTTTCCTTTTAGTATTTATTGTAAGTTGAGTAAAAGTTTACAGAGCAAGCTTTTTCATTCAGCAATTCATATGTATTTTGTTTCATGTCAATAATTGCAGTCTCCACACTATAGCATAACTCATCCATTTCCTCCTGTGTTTACCATTTCCATTCCTTCCTTTCTTATCCCTTCCTGCCCTCCTCCCTTTCCTACTCATCCCTAGGTACATTTCCCCCTTTTTGATTGCAGATGGTTGGTAGCTGTACTTTTTTCACTTTTTAATGTTTTCTTTTTCCTAAGTATTTGTACAGCAGCACAATAAGGCGGACTCTCGTGTACCCACTACCCCTCATGAGCAATACTTTCAGTTTTGAATCTCAGAAGTCCTCTGTGCTCATCGCACACAAGTTTAGACTCAGCAGCCTCAACCTCTAGCCCAGAGACATAACCAAGAACAGAACTGGGGTCTGACCCCAAAGCTGACCCCTCAGAGTGGGGAATACATACCCAAGCCCTTTGTGCACATGGGGCCAGGCTGCCTTTACCCTGGGTAGAGGTATGCCTCAGGACCTCCCAGGTGAGCACCTCTGGCTCCTCCAGCTAGATATCCAGAGAACTTTCCAGTCTCTCTGCTTAGTTCAGCTCTAGGACCTCAGTGCTACTTCACATCAGTCACTTAATATGTTGTTATTGTTTCTGTTACTTATGTTGATTATCATTAATCCATGTGATACTATCCTGTATTATTAATTTTTGCTGTTTCTTCCAGAAACTAGACAGGAAGTCCCTGATTGAGCTAAAATTTGCAAAGAACAATGAAGGTGAGTCTGTGAGTGCTGCTATAACAGATGTGCCCCATGTGGTGACTCTAAAGACCAGAAATGCGTTTTCACAGCTCAGAAGGCTCAAAGTCTGAATCAGGGGTTGGCTCTGGGGGCAGGTCTTGGTCTCTTTCACCTTAAATCCTTTGGTTACTTGATGATCTTCATGTGGCACCTTCTCCTGTCTCTGTGTCTATTGTCTCTGCTGCTCCCCTAACTCAATGCGTTTGGGGCACACTTTACTCTGGCATGGCCTTGTTGATGTTACAAAGCAAGCCCATTCCCCAAGGGGTTGTATCCACAGGTACAGGGGTCAGGACTCCAACACATACTGTGGGGGATATGGTTCAGCCACAGGGTCATTTTTACAGCCAATGTAAGGATTGGTCTGCAGAGTCCAATGTCCCTTACTCCCCACATCCTTGTGTGGAGTCATTCACTTGTTTCTTTTTTGTTTTATTATTAAAAAACAAAACAAAAATCAAAGGGTATACCCTGCAAGCCTGCCCCCCGGTCTTCAGCACACAATCCCTCTCCCTCTCTGGATCTAAAGTCGACAGAAGCTCCATCTCTCCACGTCATCATCTCTGCCTCCAGCTCAGGCATCACTGCTTCCCGCTCTCTGCTCTTCTCCATTGGTGGTCCTAGGGACCTCTACTCCTAGACTGGAAAGTTAGTCACTCCCCTCCTTGCTATAAAACGTCTACCTTTACGTTTCCAACTCTCACAATCAGTCCTGATAACAATTATTCACTATTGTATCACAAGAGACCCATCTGCATTTCATTTCATCAGCCCTGCCTAGTCAGATTGGATACTACTCACTGGAGATTCTACCTTCCTCCAGGCCCTCTGGATCTAGGTTCCCTCTTGAAAGCTTGTAAGCCAGTCACTTCTTGCCTTTGTACCCCTCCCCTCCCCCATCTTGGGTAGCCAATGTCCAAGTTGCCCATTCATGTCTACTCTGTGTGTGGATGGGGTGGGAATGATGCTTGTTGTAAAGATGTGTTCCCTCTTTTAAGCTACTGCTTCCGTAGGAGTAGGTCAAGTTCATCAAATTGTATCAGATTACTCTTTTTTTTCCTCTTCTTTTCTTCTTCTGGTTGAGCTCTGATCATCTAGTCATTGAAGCCAGGTCAAGTGGGTATTATCTGCAAGTGTGGGTGTTCTTGTGCATATGCCCTCTCGTCTTATCAACTGGACGCTTCACTCTCCACTCGAGTCCACTGTGGCTATGTCACTGACTCTGGGCCCAAGAGTCCCCAGGTTTTGCCACAGTGCTGAACAACCAGGTCTTCACCTGGGTTCACAGAAGTCTATTGAATGTTGTAGGGTTTAGCTTGTAGCTTCATTGCTGTTTTTCCCTCACTTCCCCTTATCGGTGATGAGCGTGGTCACCAATCAGAGCATGTATTCCCATTGAGTCTTAGTCTTGGAAGGGGGTTTGCACTGAGGGGACCCGACTACTTGCCTTGATGTTTCCTGGGGAAGCAACTTGCTTGTCCTTGTAGTAAAAGTCTGTCTGCCTAGGTGGTTTTGTATTTTTCCTGTAGGTCTTTCTTTCAAGAAGTATCTTCTGTTGTTCTAGCCGCTCCAGGCTGGTATGCTGGTCCTTTCAAGAGGAAATTTCCCGTCTCTGGAGATCTGGATGTGGTTCAGGCTTCCACCTATAATCTTATGTATTGCAGAGGCTCCCCAAGAAGCCTCCTTCACTGGGCACATTGTAGCCCCATTTTAGGTATTCCAATCAGTTATAGGCAGAAGACGGACTTACAAGCTTTCTATGGTGATGTTTCTGGCTATTCCTTTCTCTCCCCCTCCAGTGTCTATAATATAATGCAAGGAAAACCAAGATTCAAAAGACAGCCAAACATCTTTGCATTATTCCACCTTTTTCCCATTTGAACCATATCTCAATCTATGTATCCCAGAGCCCTTTTGTTCCAAGGTTGTGCATACATCATTATTTACCTCTGTCCCACTTAGCCCATTCAGACCTGCCTAATTGTTCTCCCATCTGCTTTGTTCTTCCATTCCCCTCTCCCTACTTGTATGTTGCCCCCTCCCTAGCACCCAAATTATCTTGTGTCTAATCCCTGCCCTGTGCTCTACCTTCCCCTCCCTCCCCTCACCCACGTCCACGTCCAACATCCCAGCAATCAACAAAGAATTTCCCCCACCCCCTTTAGTATGGGATCACATTTATCACAGTAGTGGTCCTGTGCAGTATTTCTCTTTTTGTGACTGACTAATTTCACTCAACATAATGCCCTCAAGGTTCATCCATGTTAACTGGTGATTATTCTTCAAGGTAGCATAATATTCCATTGTGTGTATGTAACACAGTTTGTGTATCCATTCTTTAGTTGATGAGCACTTTGGCTGCCTCCATCTTTTTGCTATTGTAATTTTTGCAGTGCTGCTATGAACATTGATGTGCATATAACTACTCGTGTTGTGGCTCGTTTTTCTTGTGGGTAAATACCAAGTAGAGGAATTGCTGGATCAGTAAGGTATTTCTATTTTTAACCTTCTGAGGAAACGCCATATTGCTTTCCAGAGAGGTTGGACCATTTTGCAGTCCCACCAGCAATGCAGGTGTGTCCCAGTTTCGCCACATCCTTGCCAGCATTTATTGTCCTCTACATTTTTTATCTTTGCTATTATTGCTGGTGTGAGATGATATCTCATTGTTGTTTTGATTTGCATCTCTCTAATGGCTAGTGATTGTGAACATTACTTCATACGTTTGTTGGCTGCCCGGATCTCTTCCTTGGTGAAGTGTCTGTTCATGTCCTGTGCCCATTTTTTAATTGGGTTATTTGTCTTTTTCTTGTTGTAGTTTCCTATATATTTTAGAAATGAGTCCGTTGTCTGATGTGTCATTGCGAAAGATTTTTTTCCCATTCTGTGGGTTCGCTTTTTACTCTTCTGGTGAAGTCTTTTGATGCACATAAGGTTTTAATTTTTAGTATGTTCCACTCATCTATTTTGTCTACTTTTTGTTTGTGTGGTTTTCAGAATGTTTTGTAGTCTGTGTGTTCCCTGAATTAGTGCCCTCGCATTTGTCCCGATTTTTTCACTGATGGCCTTCATAATTCTGGGATTCACATTTAGGTCCTTAATCCATGTTGAGTTGGTTGGGTTTTTTTTGTTTGTTTTTTTTCATACACGCACAGGTTTATTCCAAAAAAATGTTTGAACATACTGATGGCTGTAGACAAGTTCTCTCAGTAATATACTTGTCTTCGTCTCCCTAGGGTTGTTGTTAGGTGCCATCGAGTCAGTACTGACCCACAGCGACCTTATGCACAGCAGAATGAAACAGTGCCTGATCTTGGGCCAACCTCACTATTGTTGCCATACTTGAGTCCATTGATGCTGCCACTTGGCCAATCCATTTCATTGGGTGTCTTCTTCTTTTTCTCTGACCCT